CCCCCCCCCCCCCCCCCCCCCCACAGTGGTGTGCCCGCTTCTCCCCACCCTTGGGTCAGGTCTTCTTCTGCATTGGGCCTGGGCCTGTTCCTCCCCTCCCCATGCTGCTGCGGTGGGGGGGAGAGGGCCCGCACCCCAAGCAGCAGGAGGGAAGTGGGGAATTATCAAAATTGAGGAGAACTTCTGAAAAATAAGCAAGTCCAGAAAAGATTAAAAAATTAGAAATGGAAAATGGTGAAAAGCAAGTACAAATTTCATTTGGTGTACAATGATCCTTTTGTAGATCTAGTTCCTTTGGAGTATAGATGGTAATAGATGTAAATATTCTCCTCATCAAATCCTATTCAGCATACTGAGGAAGTCTGAAATGGAAGGTGCTCGTTTGGAAATCTGCTTCAGTGACAGTAGTGTTACCTAGGTTTTCTATGCCTGCAGCAGAAAAGGGCATTCTAAGATGAAGCTCAAAGTGTAAACAAGGCTGGTCCACATGTTGAGTGCATACCTTTCCAACCTAGCCAGACTGCTGACTCCATTCTGCCTTTCCAAGTTGCCTTACATTTTGGAAACTATCTGGTTAAAAGCAGGTATTTTATGAAGGTGACATTGCTACATTACATGTCTACAGCGTTTCAGCAGCAGTGAAAAGGTCAACTTGGCAACTGAATTTAAAACTCAATGACTGGGCTAATTAAAAAAAAATGTTTCTATTTTGGCACCAGTAGTTCATAATTCATTTGGCCTTTCCTCTTCTCTCTCCCCCATCCCCTGTCCCCGCCCCACCTTTTCTTCCAGATTTTGGTGTTAGTGCTTTTTTAGCAACAGGAGGTGATGTTACTCGTAACAAAGTAAGAAAAACGTTTGTTGGTACCCCGTGTTGGATGGCACCTGAAGTCATGGAGCAGGTATCCTCATCATTTATTAATTGATTTTGTGATGACTTCCAGAATATGTAACGTTACATTAAAACTTTTCTTTTTTTTTGCCCTGTGTTAGGTGAGAGGTTATGACTTCAAGGCCGACATGTGGAGTTTTGGAATAACTGCCATTGAATTAGCAACAGGAGCTGCACCTTACCACAAATATCCTCCAATGAAAGTAATTACCATTAGAAAGCATCTATAATTTTTAACATTATGTAAATTGAATTCTGGTTCATTGCACTGCTTATTTTTCTGGCATTTCTCTTTGAATCCTTAAAAACTCATTCTCTAAAGTAGCAGAGAACTAGGAGATGGTATGCTTGGGTTGTTTGTTTGGTCTTCCTTTGCCTCTCTTATTGGACAAGCTTGGTAATATATACTTAGCTCCACGGTGACAGAGCTGCTTTCTGAAGGATATCAAGTGCGCCTCTTATACTTCTGAACAAATTTTATGCAATTAGCAGTACTATTACATTTATTTTCTTAACTGGAGGGCTCTTGTGGCCACCTGGCATAGGAAGGTCCCATCTTCTATGTCAGTAGTAAACAGAATATAGTTTGCAATCCTATTGTGCAGCCTGAATAGAATCTAACTTAATCTCTAAAGATTTTTACAGTCTTTGGCGTACGTTGAACCCATACCAAATACTGTAGTGTTGGTCATTTCTGAGAGCACAAATCTTTAAGGAAGTACATGTCAGAGGTAATGAAAGTACAGGTCAGGGATACTTGTGTGGTGCCACTTTGGAATGTAATTGTACTTTATTACTGTTAATCTATCAAAAAGTGATGAAACTTTATGGCTTTTTAAATAAGATTTTTTGCATGTAAAAAACTTTGAAGTCCTTAAATAAACAATTATATGAAATGTCAAATTTATTAAGCTAGTATTTATTCTTAAAGATGGGAGAAAGTAGCTGTAAATGATTTTTAAATTTGGCAAACTTGAAGGCTTGCATGCAGATTTTTAGAATTTACTACAAAAATTACAATATCTTCAAGTTGATCAATTAATGACTAATTAGTTGAATGTTCTCTGTTATACCTTAATAAATAGCTACATTGTACCTGAGCTGTACTTTAACTTAAGTAAGTCTTGATTTTGATCCTTTTCTGTGAACAGAACAGTGTAAGATGTATCTTAGCAGGAAAACTTTGTTAAATAAGAAGGTTTGTGAATGAAAATTGACCTAGTAAAAGCTCTTTATCTAATGGCTTTAGAGCAGATGAGTTAAGGTAATTACAGGTAATAAACTTAATGTGCAGTAAATGGCATTACTGGTGCATATCTTTTAGGTGACACTAATGCGCAGTAGACTAATTCTACTGCTTATTAGCGCATTATTGTATAGTTATGTTATTACAGGTACTTAATGCGCAGTAATCACAGGGCATGTGTAGATGCGCCCACAGTCATTGCTGTAATTTTTAGTATGTTTTCCTGCCCTTAACTCAGCTGCTCTAAAGCCATTAGATAAAGAGCTTTTACTATCTCAATTTTCATTCACAAACCTTTTTATTTAACAAAGTTTTCCTACTAAGGTACAGGTAATAGACTTTATTACAGGTAATAAACTTAATGTGCAGTAATTGGCGCTACAGCTCAGTAGTGCCAGTGCATGTCTTTTAGATGACACTAATACGCAGTAGATTAATTCTACTGCTTATTAGTGCATTAGCACAGCTTTCACCATGACACACTAATGCACAGTAGAATTAGTCTACTTCACTTTTAGTGTCCTGTGTAGACGTGTCCTGTATGTACTAGTTTTCTTTACACAACCTTTTCAGACTGCCTAGGATGCTTGAAAAAGGAATTAATGTGCCATCACAGAGGGACCAGAAAAATAGTGCAGACATGCAGGTGATAGTGCAGATGATTTTTCTATCCATGGTATGGCATTTCAACAGAATAAGCATGTGCTTGATACCTGAAAAGATGAAAAGTGCAGGAAAAATCTGTCTTAGTGACAGTACCTGCTGATTACCTGTTTTTTAAGGAGGTCCTTCTCCTGGAAGATTCAAATCACAGGAAAATCACCTATCTGAGGAGCTGACTGACTACTGCAAAAAGAGTAAAGGAGAGTATGGAAAATCCTGTACCACATGCAGATCACCAGGAAGTTTTCAACTGTGTTGGCTTAGAAAAGTCATTTGCCTCTATGGTCATGTCATCAGGCCCTATAGAACAGGCAGGAAACTATCATCCCTTCTGAAAAACTGGTTAAAGGCATAGCATGATGGGCTTAACCAGTTTAGCATGATGGTTGCCCATAGAGAGGGTGCAGAAGGGGCAGTCATTGATTAAGCACTGGGGAGGGAGCTTCAGCTGTTGAGACATACCAGACGACCCTCTGTATAAGATTGCTTCCTTGCCTAGCTGAGGGCTGGTTGGAATTGGCTAGGTATCATCAGACTATGGATATAGAGGCACCATATGTCAAAGTGAAAGGTTTAGGTTTAATCTAACTCTGAGTAACCTTTATATTAAATGTCTTTGGCCTGTCATGTTTTGCTAATTGCAGTGCACTTTTCTGGTAATGTGCTTTCTTAACTTTCTGTTAAGTTTGCATAACTTACTTGGTGTTGACTTCATGCTGCCTGCATGTTTTGCTCCTACTATTTAATGAAGCTTTTTGTTATCCTTACCCGGAGCTGAAACAATGATCCAGATTCTGTATTTCACCCTTCAAAGACCATTTTAATTTCCTCTATTATTGCCATCCTATCTTTGTCCTAGGCATGTATCTGATAACAGCCAACTTGCTGTGTAAATTTGTATGGGTCACTTGTAGTGTCTCTCTCTCTCTCCCTCTCTCTCTCTCTCTCTCTCTCTCTCTCTCTCTCTCTCTCTCTGTCTTCACTTATCTCTTGGCTTATATATACACCTGTACTATAAATTATATACAGTTATAGAATAGTTTCTTGTTGGGTGGTACCCTTCGGCATAACATGTAAATTATTTCTGAAGATCATAGATTCTTAAGATGATGAAGTGGGTTTATGGCCCCTACCATATGTTACACTTAAGCTGTGATTAACCAGTTCAGTTGTGACCTGGCCACATAGTCAGTTAATGGCATGGTAAAACAAGGAATAAGCCATAAGTTTTTCCACAAAAAATGTGTAATAAGTTTGTGCCTCATTCCTGTCACACCATTAAGTAAATGTGTGGCCTGGTACCCCTTTGTGGCTGGGAGCCCTGTCAGTTGATGGGGGCACATAAGCCTGCAGCTGATCCAGGCTCTCAGTCACAGGGGTGGTTCATGCACTTCTGCGGCTGGGAGCTCACTGCTGATGGGGCTCTCAGCCACAGGGGCGCACCTTGCACTTCCAGGGCTCCCAGCAGCAGGGAGCACCATGCGCTCCTGCAGCCCAGAGCCTGCAGCTGATGGAATTCTTAGCCATGGGAGTCCACTATGCACCCCTGTGGCTAGGACTTCCAACAGCTGATCCCAGCCATGGCAGTGCATCCTATGCGCCTGTGGTTGAGAGTCCTGTCAGCTGATATGGACTCCCAGCTGCAGAGGCACACCACATGCCCCCAAGGCTTGTAGTCTGCAGCTGATGGGGCTCACAACTATGGGAGCTCATGGTACGCCCCTGCAGCTGCAAGCCCCATCAGCTGTAGATTCCTAGCCTCAGGGTCGCAGGGGGACCCTGCGACCCTGAGGTGCAGCCTTGCACCAAGCCTGCAACCTTGTTGGTGCAGGGGGAGTGCTGGATCATGATCCTGGGCTAACTCTGCACCAGGAATAAGGCATGATGGGATCACGGTTCCTGCCATGTGTGGATCACACATCAGCTCCTGTCTCACCTTTATCTGTATGTCTGGCAGGGACCATAATTTGTCAGATTTAGAGGGAATGATGCCATAATTGGATGTTAAGTGAAACTCTTATAAGTAAATGAGTCCCCTAAATCAAAGACATTCTTTAATATATTCTAATTGTCATAAGCAAATTTTTGTGTAGTAACGTGATATTTTGAAAAACATGAAAATTATTGTTTGATTATTGAATACATGTTTCTTCTACAGTACTCTGCTGTATTAGTTTTACTGAGACACTTATGTTGTTACCTTTCTGGTTTTACTACAGGTGTTAATGCTGACATTGCAGAATGATCCTCCCACTTTAGAGACAGGTGTAGAAGATAAAGAAATGATGAAAAAGTACGGCAAATCCTTTAGAAAACTTATTTCACTATGCCTTCAAAAAGACCCTTCCAAGAGGTATGTCACTGTATAAAATAGATTTTTTATAAGGTACTCCAAATTTTAATTATTTTAAAGATTCTTTTTAAATATCAACCATTGGTCTTTAAGCTGGGGAAAACTATCATCAACCATTTGCCATGCACAAGACTGGTAGATTTAGTAGGCTAGTGGCAAATATTCTGCTGTATTGAGCACTGGTCACTGTTGTACTGAGTCCCTACCTTGAAGAGTTTACAGCTGCTAACCTGAAATCAACAAATCTTAATATCTTATAGAAATCCATGTTTTAAGACCTATTTGTTTAAAGAAAAAAATAGGGCTGGAAGGGACTTCATAATGCCATTGAGTCAACTGCTCACAAGGCAGGAATATCCGTTCTTGCCATTCAGGGGAGACGAATGTTTGTCCAGAACTTAAAAACTTCCAACGAAGCAAGTTCCACAACTTCTGTAGGTCATCTGATCAACACGACTGGAGCAAACTCAGATATTAATAACCAAACATACTGTCCACTTGATTCTACTGTAGAAAATGCTTACAGGTTTCCTTTTTCCTTTTATGATCTGATCTCATTTCCAACTGCAGAATGTGCTATATGTGCTGTGTGACAAGATTACTTTAGAGAATATTAAGGAATATTAAGGGGTTTTTGTTTGTTTTAGGTAATATAATCAACGGGAAGGGTGTATGTTAACATAGGGTTATGCATTTCCTCTGCTTCTGTGCACTCGGCATAACTCTACTATGTTTTTGTCACCTGAGAAAAATCCAGATAATGAAAACCTTCCAAAAGTCTACATTGCTAGATTGCTAGTAAAGTTCCAGGGTGATTTCCCCCCCCCCC